CTATAAAAACAACAATTTTTATTGTTTCTTAGTTTACATACTAATAAAGCAAAAAAAAAAAAAAAAAAAAAAAAAAAAAAAGACACTATATTTAAACAAAAAAAAGTTAAAGTAGATACAACTTTATCATAAACAAAAAAAGAAAAAATTCCAAAGTATTTAAAGATAAAGTAACGTGTAAAAAAAAAAAAAAATGAAACAAAACAAAGTAATAAATAAAAGTGATAAAAGATACAAAATAAGAAAAATATATTTTTATAATTAAATATTCTTCTAGTAATAGAATCAAATAAATTTTTATAATTTTTGGTAAGTTTTATGTAGTTCAAAAAAAAAAATAAAAATTAATAATACCATAGTTTTTCTAATTATTGTAACAATTTGAATAATAATTTTTTTTCTTAAAATTTTTAGTTGCACTTTTCTTGTAATTCAGCTTCATTTATTTTGTTTGGTAATCGCATCTTATTTCTTCTATTCATTAAAACATTAAAATAAAAAATTGCTAACTAAAAAAAAAAAAAAAAAAAGAAAAAAACAAATAGCAATTATAAACTTTAATTTATTTTTTATTTATTTTTATTCTAACCAGTATAACGAAAATTATTGCTAAATTTATAAATAATGCATTATTTTTATAGATTGAAGCTGCTTTAGATTTTTTCAATTCTTCATATTCAACTAAAAAAAAAAAAAAAAAAATAAAATAATATTAACATTTGATAAATAATTAAATAACTTCATATACTTTTTACATAAAAGAATTCTATCCATTTATTAAATATTATAATACAGAATGATAATAAGTATATATTTTATAAAATATGAATGGTTAAAAATAATATTATTTATTTTTATATTTTTTTAAGGTGATAATTCATATATATATCTATGTATATTCATTTATTTGTTTTTTATTATATATGTATATATATATATATTTTTATTAAAATTATTACTATGCTTTTGATATATGGTTTAAATAAACATTTCAATTTTTTACAAAATATATTTATATATATAGTAGTATATGGTTTTTAGAAAAATATATACCTTTATCAAATTCAGATCTTTTTCTAAAATTTGAAAACTTTTTTTTAGCAAAAATATGATTTAACAATATAGATATCCTTGACCCTGCACGTAAAATATTATTTCTTATTAATCTTTCAAGTTGATATTCCAATTCATAGGAGATTTCTAATTCTGTAGTTGTATCAAAATATAACTTCTCCTCTTTAAGTGTCATATAACTTTCAATTGAGTTATTCATATAAAATTCAGAACAAAAATCATTCACAATATCCTTAGCCCAAATATATATAACATCTATACCATTTTTTTTAAATAAATCTTCATCTTTTTTATGATCATTAAAAATTCTATTTACATGGGTCCAACCACTATACCATGATGATTGATATTTTTGGATCATTTTATTAATAATTTTATTTTCTAAATATTCAAATAAATTACTTTTCACTTTTTGTAATTTGTTATCAAAAAATGTGACATTAATATTTTTTCCACCATTATCACTAATAAAAGATATTCTAAGTGGTTGATGCATATCGCTAATTAAGGTAACTAGATATTTTAATGAATCTGAATCAGTGAAAGAAATATTACGTGGATACTTAAATTTTATATCCTCATTAAGATTTGAATTTGGAGGTAATAATAATTTATTATAAAAATATTTAATAGAATTAATTAAACATAATCCATTTTTATCATCACAACTAAATGATATATTTTTACAATCATTATTTTGTAAATTAAAGTGCATTGGCTCTGCTCCTCTTATTTTATCATGAACTAAATGACCCCATTTTCCTAAATCTACTAAATCTTTTCCATTTAACAATTTTTTTAATTCATATAATTGATCACTTTTTAATCCAGACATGGCTACCATACCTATGGCTTCATGACCTTCATTGTTAAAACCTTTTATAAAAGACTTATTATTTTTACACAAAATACTAATTACAAATATTATTATATTTATACACCATTTTCTTTTTATAATCATCTTTTACTCTTTTATTTTATATATATTTATTTATATACAAAATATAATGAACAAATAATCTATTTATAAAAAATATAAAGTGAAAAACCTCTTATAAAAACAAATAAATTAAAAGAGAAAATAAATTGTTTAAAATATTATATAAATACATGCATACTTTTTTTTTTTTAGATGTTTTTTTAAGTACTTCAATATTATTACTTAATACAAATCGAAGTGAAAAGGTGGATCAATTTTATTTTAATGTTTGTTTTATTTTTATATATGTTATTAACTCATTGCTCTTCATGGTTTAAATTTATTTACTCCTTTTTTCTTTTTTTTTTTTTTTTTTTTGTTTTTCTGATGAACAATTCTTTTGTATATTTATTTATGAATTTATTTTAATTATAATTTGTACTTTTAAAACAATTTTGTATCTTTTATTATATAAAAAAATTTTCTTCTTTTTGAATTGAAAAATATTTATATTGAAATTTTACAATTTTTACTTATGTGCAATTTTTTTTTTTCTCATAATATTTAATTTATTTATAGTTATATATATATATATATATATATATATATGTATGTTTATTTCAAGTTATAAAAAAAAAAAAAAAGTTAATAATTAAAGAGTATCTTTTATTTTCCATTATTATTTAATAAATGAAAAAAGAGTTATTATTAAATTATCATGTCTATAAATATAGAAAATAGTATCATAATTTATTTTTTCATTTATTTTATTTTTTCTTTTAAAAAAAAAATAAATTATAAAATGTAAAAAATCATGTTGTATATAAGTGAGCTACAAAATATAAATTGTGTAAAAATAACCAGAAGTAAGATAAAAGAAAGAAATATTTTTTAAAATATCAACTTTTTTTCTTTTTATATATTCATAGAAAAAATAATAGAAAAATTTTCATGATTTGATACACTTGTAATTTAGAATGATTACTTTTTTTTTTTATACATTTGATTTAAAAAAAAAAAATTTATATTTTGTCTTATTTATTTTTTTCTTTTTAATGTAATTCCTATTTTTAAGATGAGAATAATAGATTTAACCTTTTGTTTTTATTTTTTTTAAATAGAAATTGTAATAAAGTTAAAAATTATATAGAATACAACCATAATGTAAAAATAGAAAATGGATTTAAAAATATACATACCTTTATTTTTTTCTTCTCTGTTTATCTTTTTTCAGATAAATTTTTATGCATTTAAGTGCAAAAAAAATAATTTATTTACTTTTTTTTTAAGTATTTTATAATTTGTTAAGTCTTAAATTTATTATTTTAAGAGATATATATTCCTGAAATGTAATACATCTTTATATATTTTATCTATATTAAATATAATGTACATTAATAGATAGACAATTATCTACTTCTTTTGTAATAAAAAAAAAATAAGAAATAAATATATAACACTTTTATATTTAATTAAAATAAATATAAATAAAAGATCATTATTAATTGTATATATAATAACAAATTAGTATCAAAGAAGACAATAGTGTTTTAATGTATTTTTTATATATTTATAATCGTATTCTCTTTTCCTTTTCTATGACATTTATTAATATAAAAATATCATTTATATTCTATTTAAAAAGTGTATTACAAAAAAAAAAAAAAAAAAATAAACTTCTATATATATTAAAATAAAAAGTAAAAAAATGAAATACAGTCATATTGATATTATGCATTAATACTATATTTCTTTTAAATTACATTTCACGTTTACACAAGTTCTAAACTAAGTATAATTAATTAATAATAAAAGAGTTCAAATCTTATATATTCTTATCTTTAAAATATTTATATAATATTAAGGAATAAAAATACAAAGGAATAAGATATATAAAATAAGAAAAACTTAGTATTTTTTTTATTTCTTTCAAATCTCCAAACTTTTTCTGCAAAAAAAAAAAAAAAAAAAAATGTTGAAAAAAAATATTTAATTTAAATATAAATTAATTTTTTTCTATATATTTATAATAATACTTAAGAATACAAGTAAAAATTGAAAATTTGAATTATATAAATAATTATAAATGAAAATACTTTTTTTATTATTCATGTATGTTGTATCTATCTTCTATTTTACATATATAAACATATTCTTTTTTTTTTTTTTTTTTTTTTCTTACGTTTAAAAAGTAAATATTATAATTAGGTGGAGTCATTGATTGAATTAAAAGAAAAAGTTGCAAATTTGTTTTTATCTGAAAAAAAAAAAAAAAAAAAAAAAAAAAAATTATTTTTGTTTTATTAATCATTTTTGGTTAAATCATTGATATTATTTTGTCTATATTATAAAATTTAAAAAAAAAAAAAATTATATAAATAAAAATATATATATATATATATATATATATATATATATATATATATATATATATATATATATATATATTAATTTTTTATTTACATGAAAAAATTTATAATGATTATTTAAATGGAATAAGATAAAAAAGAAAATTGGATATAAAAGATATTTATTATTAAAAATATATATTAGATCTTTAATGTAAAAGGATGACTTCACTATGAATCCTTCATATAAGATGTTAGAAATAATAATAAGAATAGAAGGTATTAATATATTATTAAACATTAATAATAATTGTTTTACTGATTTTTCATAAATAAAATTAGCTTTATGAAAAAAATTCAGAAATAATGATATAAGAATAAAATAAGTGTATGAATTAAAAAAAATTAATTTTAATGAAGAAAAATTTGTTTTTTCATTGAGTATTAGCTCATTTTTTTTAGTAAAATATTGAACATAAATTTTTGACATAAAGCCGTTAATTAGAATATAAAAATTAATTAAAATATTAATATCATTATTTATAAAATTTAATTTTTTTAAAATTTGATTAAATATAAATATAGGTATAAATCCGGTATGACTTAATACACACATATGCTTTAAAATAGTTTTTCTTATAGAATCATTATAAATGTTTTCATAATTTAGACTTTTTATATTATTATTTATTTCATTAATATCCTTATAATTTAAATGATCTATTTCATTTTCTTTACTTTTTTGTTCTTTTAAAAGATGAGATTCTAAATGTTTTCTTTTATTTGAAGTTATTTCAATATTTTCGTTATTTTTCTCTTTATTATTTTGATTTAGTTTTACGTTATTTTCTGTATAGGTTATATCATTATTATCATTTAATTTTTCTAATTTGTCACATAAGAAATCTTTTTTTTTCTTTCTTTCAATTTCTTGTTTATTATTTTTTGAATAAAAAATGAAAGATGTTAAATTAGATATAAAAATTTGTGAAAAAAATTGTGCAATAGAAAAAATAAAAATTTTTAAAAAAAATGAAAAATTCTTCGGTATAACTTTTATTATATCATTTATTGTGTTAAAAAGGAAAATTTTAGAGTTTATATTATCAGTAATTTCTAATAATGTTTTTCTATGATTTTCATTTATTAAATTGTAATAATTCAAGGAAAACATAAAAAAAAATATATTACTTAAATTCCATATAACGTTTAAAGGCACAGTAAAATAATCATTCTTCATAATTGTCATCTGTTTTATTTTTAGTATTATATCACTTTTATTAAAATAACTTACAAATTTTTTCACATTTTTTTTTTGATAAATATACTTTTTGCTTTTATTATTAATAATGAAGTTTTTTATTTTACATTTTTGAAATTTTCCTTTACTTATTGTCTTTTTTTGTTCACTAACAAGAGTTAAGATTAATGCTAATGCTAAAAGTATATTTATTTTCATCTTTTTTATTTTATTCAAATCATTATTTTCTATGTATTATTATTAACATATATTATTAACTCTCTTATATTATTTCTTATTTTTTCCTATTTTTTCATATAAATTAGTCTTATATTCTTTAAAAAGTTTACTTTCTATTTTTTCTTTTAATTTATCATTTTAAAAATGTAAGAGTTATTTAATTGAAATATAAGTGTGTTTAGAAATCTTTCATTTACAAAAATTAAAAAAAAAAAATACATAAACATTATTTTTTACATTTTAATTTTTCTTAGTTTTTTCTTCTTTTGTATTCATATATACTAAATAAAAAAATCCATATATACATATATATATATATATATAATATTTAACTAGATAATAATATTTAAAAAAAAAATATATATTTCAGGATACATCTCAAAATAAAAAAAAAAAAATTGACAATTATAATATTTTAATACCAATATAAATACTTCTAATTAAAAAATCCTTTATACATATATATATATATGTGTAATATATTTAAATAATATTACAGCTTTATTTTATTTTTTTAAATCTTCATATTAATATTTTTAATATTTTAATACATTTATAAATTATATTTTCTTATAGAATTAAAAATACACTAAAATACAGAACACATATTAAAATAATTTTTTCTTATTTTGCTCTTGAAATAAACATATTTAATTTTTAATCTATATATATTTTTTTTTTATAGAAAAATTATATAATTTTGACATTTTTATTTAAAATTAATACTTTTTTAATATAATTAACTTTTTACTAATTATTCATATTTTTAATTACATATTAGTAAAAGTACACATATAGTTTTTTTAGACGATTTTTTAAAGATATATACATTTAAAATAATAAAAAGGTTTAGAAGTTAACACTATTTCATAAAATTAAAAAAAAAAAAGATAAAATAAAATAAAATAACTCCATTGACAAAATATTATAAGTAAAAAAAATTGAAAAATAAATTATTCTAATGTTTTAAGAAATATTTTATTTTTTATGTTTTAAAGATTAATTTTTTTTTTTCTTTATTATATAATACTTGGTGCAAATGTTTTGTGTATTTAATATACTTAAATTATATTTTAATATTTTTAAAATATATTTGATATTTATATAATATGTGCTTCAGATACATTTCATAAATTCATCAAAAATAAGGAGTTTTTTATATAATTTTTTTGTGTTTTCTTATAAACTGATTTTTAAAAAATACAATAAAATATAGTGTGTTTATTTAAATTCTTTTTTTTTAAAGCTACATTTCATTTTACTATTATTTTATTAAATATTTTATATTATTACAATAGAATAATATCATTTTAGTAAAAATGCAAATTTCTTTAATTTCATAATTTATTTTTCATGTTATCATTTTTCTTAGAAAAATTTCAAAATAGTTCTTCCATTAGAATTATTTATGGACAAAATAACTTTCAAAATGATTACATATGTTTTTTATTTAAATATATTTAATCCATTATTTTTTTTTTTTATATAATTTTTTATAAAAGTTTTATTTTATAAATAAATATATATAAATTACAACTGAAAAATAAAACATATAAAAAATTTCACTATAATAAAAACTAAAAATAAAATAATTTATAAGTAAAAAAAATATATATTTATTTATAATTTCATTTTACTTTATTTTGTTTTATTTTATTTTATTTTTTTTTTTTTTTTTAAATAATTTTTAATCATTATATACAAATTATTTTGTAATTTTACTTTATTTTATTTTATTTTTTTTTTTTTTTGTAACTTCTTAAAAATATATAGAGAATAAATGTTGTCTACTTATTCAAAAATAAATAGTTTAAACAAAATATGCATGAATATATAAAATAATTTAATCTATTATATATATATATATGTATATATTTTTTAAAAAAAATAAAATTAAGATTTTAATTATAAAATTTATGATGGTATATAATGTATGTGTGTATATATATTTATATGAATTATCCATATTTTAAAAGATATAAATAATATACAAATTTTTTTTTTTTTTTTTTTTTTTTTTTTTTTTTTTGGATAATAAATATTTTATATGAATTTTTTTTCTAAAAGAAAAAAATTATTATTTAAAAATTCCTATTATTTGTATAAATTAATTTATTTTTATAATAATATGATAAAATGATTAAGAAAAAAAGGGTTTTTTTTTTTCTATTGTAAAAGATGAAAATGTAATTTTTTGTAACTCTTAAGAGATGTTGTTTCTGTTAATAATTTTGCTTAATTTTCAGTGAAAATTTATCCTTTTTTTTTTCCTTTTTTATTTTTTTTTTTTGCTGTTATGATTGATATGAACATATTATGACTCAAAATCATGAAAATTATAAATATTTTAAAAAAAACATTGTTTTGAATTGTTAAATGTATTTTTATTTAAAAATTTTTTTTATTTTTTTTTTTTGATTATAACTAAAATGGATAAAGTTAATGAAAATATTATTAACTGTAGGAGACTGCATAGAGCAAATATGATATTTGCTACCATAAGTAATGATTATAATTACATTTGTATTATTACTTTTTATGAAAATAATTATAATTTAGAATTATTTAGTACTAATAATCATATGCAAAAGATATTTAGAAAAACAATTATGGATGAAATTAATAAAGTCTACATAAATTATAATAATAAATATATTTGTGTGACTAGCAAAAGTGGCAGCATATATATTTTAGATATGAAAGGAAATTTTATTCATAAAAATGAAACAATGCATTCATTATATAAACCCAAAAAAATGAAAAATAAAAATAAATTTCAAAGTAATAACAAAAAAAAAAAAAAAAAAAAAAAAAGGNTAAAAAAAAAAAAAAAAAAAAAAAAAAAAAATGCGAAAAACGAAAAGTATTACATTTTTATTATTATATATATATATATATGTAAAAAAAAAAAATTGTATTTTTACTTCATTTTTTTTTTTTTTTTTTTTTTTTAGATTTAATAAAAAGAAATAAAAAGGAATCTCTAAATAGCAGTACGAATGATAAAATACTGTATGAAGAAAAAGACAGAAGTAATAATAAAAATATGAATAAAAGATATAAAGTTGATAGAATATCAAAAAACAAAAATACGATACTTACATATTTTAATAGAAAAAATAAGACATATAAAAATAAATCAAAAGATGAATTAAATTCTATAAAATATACTTTATCCTCTATAGTTGATTGTAGAAAAATACGTCAAAAAAAAAAATTAATTAACAAAATGAAAATTGCAAAAAAAATAAGTAGAAATTGTAATAAAATCATTTATAAAAAGAAAAATAATAAGTACGATAATAATAATATCACAAAAAATAATAATAATAAAACAAAAATTGTTAAAATAAATAGCAAAAATAATATAAAAAGTTTTCTTTCGAATTCAAAAAATAATTATTTTAATAGAAATATATATAATAGTATAAGTAAAGATAATTACATAAATGACAGGGATAAAAAAGCTGAAGATAAAAACAAAAAGATAGAATTTTCTGAGAGAGATGATTTTAATTATAATTTCTCATCTCTTTCGGAGTCTTCATTTGAAAAGAGTTTAAATGATTTTTTTACGATAAAAAATGTGGAAGAAAAAAAAAAAAAAAATTATAATGTAGAATATGAAAAGTTATGTTTAGAAATAGTCGATATATATTGGATAAGTATAGAAAAAGAAAATAAAAACAAATTTATTGATAGTAATAATTGTTTTTATGATTACAATTTTTATGATAATTTACATATTATATATAGTTTAGATGCAGCATTTAATATTTTATGCTCGATAAATCTGAAAATAATAATTTATAAATATAATATATTAGAACATTTTTATAAAAATATTAATTCCTACAAAGAATTAAGAAATAATATCATTTATTGTTTTAAAGAAAAATTTTTAAAAAAATGTAAACACAAGAATCACTACCTGCAATTTTTTAAGTTAAGTAAATGTTATTACAAAAATAAAACTTACAGCTTAAATACTTCCATTAATAGATACAAAAATAAAATAGATTTAAAATTTTTACACAAACAAAATAAAACAGTTGATTTATCTCATTATCATTTAAATATAAAAGATGATGTAATTAAAAGAATTTTTAACGATATAATTATTGATATTAAGCAATCTTATGTGTCTAATGACCAACATTATATATTGATAAATTATTATATAAATATTAAAGAAAAATACATAAATTTTTCTAGTTTAAACTTAAAAACAAATGAGAAAAAAAATGAGAAAAAAAATGAGAAAAAAAATGAAAAAAAAAATGAAAAAAAAAAATATGAAAAAAAAAAATATGAAAAAAAAAAATTTGATCTAATTAAAATATACAAAAATAGAGAAAAGATGGATAAATTTCAGTCTTCTAAATGCAAATTATGTTTTTTAGGAATACAAAAGATAAGTTGTATTGATAAAGAGTGCAAATCGGTTGAAAAAATTATGTTGTATTTACTTTACTCATATAATATAATTCAGAATATATATAACTTATATGAAAAAATGTCAGCTATATATACACAATTTGATGATTATAAAAAATTATATAAAATATATGAAAATATATTACAATTAAACGATAATTTAAAAAAATTTTATTACAAAGATAGGGAAATTATATATTTTTCAAAATATGTAAAAAACAGAAAAGAAAGTTTTGATGAAAATTTATATAATTTATTTTTTAAAGAAAATGAAAAGCATGATTTCGCACAATATTATGACATAATGAGAAAAATGATAAAAGATAAAATAGTTTGTTGTTCTTGTTCTAAAAACAAATTTTTCAATGAAAATTTAGAAAATAATGAAATAGAAAAATGTGAAAGTGAAATATTCGAGATAAATAATTATCTTGATTGTAAAAAAGAAATTGGTTTAATAGACAATCAAAAAAATAATAACAATTTTAATAAAAGTATAACCACAAATCTTCATATTAATAAAAAAGAGAATGACATAAAGGAACAAAAGAATATGAATATTATAAAAAATAAGAAGAGTAAAGTAAGTAAACGTAAAATAAATAATATAAAAAGAGATGAATTACAAGGTGAACTAAAAAAATTCAATAAAATGAATAGTGTAGAGAATTTAGAAAACAAAGAATTAAATAATTTATGTATAAAAAAGAATAACAGTAATATTAATAACACATTTGATTGTGATATTATAAAAATTAATCAGCAAGAAAAATATGTAAATAATAAAAATAAAATCTACATGCCTTTTTACAACTTAAAAAATTATAATAGTATTGAAAAAAAAGAAAAACCTAATGATACCAATATTAAAATGACTCTTTGTAATGAAAATTACGACGATGAGATAAAAATAAATAATGGTATAATAATAAATGAAAAATTAAAGAAAAAGAAAATATCCAATATCTTCATAAAAGAAGGTAATGATAAAATTAAAAATGAGTTGAGTGTAGATTTAGAGAAAACTCTAAAAATTTCTGAAATTTCATCAAAAGAAAATTTTTTAAAAAGTCGCAAATTTATTATAAAAAATGGTGAAAATATATGTAACACTTGCAATGATTTATTAAAGAAAGACATGCTTAATAATTTTGAAAATTTTGAATTAAATTATGAAATACCAAAAAAAAATATTAAACTAAGTAATGAAGAAATATATAATTCATTGATTAAAGATATTTATATAATGTATACAGAAAAAAAATGTCCTGTAAATATTTTGCTACTATTACAAGAATTAAGTGATAAAGAATTAGAAAGTTGTATGGGTAATTTTCAACTAATTTTGCAATTTTATGAAAAAACTTTCCTTCAAAATGTAAATGATCATTTAAATAATCTTTTTAATATAGTTAATATATGCAAAACATTATCTAATAATGTAAGTGTAATCTTAAAAAAATATTGTAATCAACAAATATCAAAACTTCATGACGATATAATTTATTGTTTAAAAAATTTTCAATCTTTTTTTCATTTACATAAACATTTAAATATCTTCTTATTTTTTATGGAATTATTATTATTTATTTCAAAAAATATATATTTTGAAAATTTTCCTCATTATAAAGAAACTTTTTCAAATTATAAAAATATTGAAATATTAAAAAATTACCATTTTATTAAAAGTTATAAAATAAATTTTAATCATTTTGATGAATATTTGCATAACAATTATATAAAAACTCACAAATTTTATATAAGTTTAAATAAAATCAGAATTAAATTAATTAAAATTTTTAAATCATTTGCATATAATAAAAATTTGTCTTCTCTTTTTAATATATCTATTTTAAATGTACCAATTAATAAATTTAACTATTTTACTCTACCTAAGAATAGTAGAAAAAATAATTCAGTTCAGAATTTTTCTTATTTTGATGACTTTGTTTTTAAGAATAATTCAAAAGTTTATCCTTTTTATATTTGTACATGTGATAAATATTCATTTATAAATATAGCCAAATATTATCAATCAGAACAAAATTTTATATTAATTCAAAGGAAATCATTAAAGATTAACCTTTATCCATTAGACGTATTAAATATTATAGTAAAAATAAAAAAAAAAAAAAAAAAAAAAAATATATTTATATATATATATATATATATTTATGTGTTTGAATAAAAGGAATATTTATAATATTTACAGTTAAAGTGTCATTTAGAAAAATAGACAATATTTTAATATCTAATTCATCATTATATTAAAAAAAACTTTTTTTAATTTTTAGGCAATATCTAAAAGCTTTTTTTACATTTTTACAAAAAAGGATAAAAAATTAAATATAACTTCATTAAAAGTAAAATATGGTTATTCTAAAAAAAATAGAAAAAATATCTTAAAATATAAAAATAATTTAAGTAATTTAAATAATTTATGCGGTAAATATAAAAAAAAAAAAAAAAAAAAAAAAAAAAAAGGTTAATGTAACTCTTACACTTTACTTCTTTATTTTTTTAATATATTAAATTTTTATATATTTTAATTTTTTATAGTTCTAAAGTGTTCTAACCTAGAATCTTATTTCCCTAATTTAAATAATTTTAAACTTAAAACTCAAATTTTAAATGTTAAAATAAAAAAATAAAAATAATAATAATTTTTTGTTAAAAAAATATACAAAAATTATACATATTTTTTCTTTTTCTTTACAGAATTCTATTATTGCAAATTGTGAACCAGATATGTGTATAATTTTACATATATGGAATTAAAAGAAGTAAAAAAGGTAAAAGCAGTATATTAAGTAAAAAAAAAAAAAAAATTATTTTTTGCCCATCTATATATTAATTAAAAAGGTTCTATTAGTTCTATTATTTTCCCCAATATTTTTAAAATCACAAATTCCATTTTTTTTTTAATGTCTGTCTAATTTTCAAACATTAATTTCTGTGTTTATAAAAATTTTCATTTGTAAAATTTTAAAAAGAATTTTTTTTTTTTTTTTTTTTTTCAATAAAATGTCTATTATAAGTTACTATTTTGTATAGTTTTTTTTTTTTCAAAATTTTAATTAAAAATTATTAAAAAGAAAAATCATTAAATATTTATATAAATAAATGCTGTAATTTCTGATATTAAAGAAAAAAAAAAAAAAAAGTATTGAAAAAATACTTTTCTTAAGAAAAAAATAAGAAAAATTTTAAAAATATAGAAAGATTTCTTATTTGTTTTTACGAATAGTATTCATTATTTTTAATTTTTAACAGTAATAAAAATAATATTATGTTTTTTTCAAAGAATATTAAAATATATTATAAATTATTTAGTTTATTTTTAGTAATAAAAAAAGAAAACTATAATATATATATGTATTTGTGACAAATTAAAATAATATAAAATTTCTATTTTAAAAATTTATCTTTTTAATAATATATTTATTTTTAATATCCTCCACAATATATTAAATAATTTAGAATTAACACATATACATAACTTTTATTAATTATTTGTTTTCTTTAATCATGTTTTGTTTAGTTTTTTTAAATTTTAAATTGTATGGATCAAATGTATCAGAACACAACGGAGTAGTGTATTGAATATTTAAAGTCTGAATAAAAAAAAAAAAAAATAAATAAAATAAAATTTCTTTTTTATATTTAAGTATATTTTTAATTTCATTTAAACACCATATGATTTTTTTATACGTTTTTTTCTTTATTTGGTTGAAAAGTTGAAATTATAAGAAAGGATGGAATACATTCTGATATGAAATATATCTATAAAAAAAAATATATATATATATATATATATATGTATAGAAAATAATGTAAAATTTTACTTATTATTTATTCATATTACAATAGCATCAGAAGTAGGTAAATCTAAATATGAATTATAAAAATTTGATCCACTAAAAAAACACCAAAATGAATACAATCCTTTTAGTGACAAAATTATGAAAAGTATAACAGATAGAGCGAGAATCTAAATTAAGAATTATATTTTTAAAATATGAAAAATATGAATATATTTTAATAATAATTTTTTTTAGAATATTCGTTTCTTTAAAATTTTAGTTACTCTTTTTATGATGTTTTTTTTTCTTGAAATTCCTTTACTCTTTTCCTTCAACTTCTTTGTAACCTTTAAATAAAAAAAAAAAAATTATAAAAATATGATAATTTAAAAATATAATTTTTTTTTTTCTTTTTTTTGTTTTTTTTTTTTTTTTTTTTTCTTATACAAACTTTAACTCCATAATAAATAAAACCTATAGCTATTAAATAATCTATAATTGATTCTAAAATATAATTATAAGAAATATAATCAATAAATGTCTTCATAAAATAGGTCAAACTAGCTAAAACTATATTTATTGAATACACTAATACATTTAAAAAAATATATAAAGGCCTATCAATTTAAATTAAAATATTAAACATTAATTAGAAAAATGAAAAAAAAAATTATATACATATATATATATAATAATAATAATAAATAGTTATTTTTTTTATTTTATATTTTATTGATAATGGAAATTACTGCAAATATGGAAACGATACTAATATAGATGCATAATAAACTTGTGACCAAAAAACAATTATAATTGTAAAAGATGATAAAAAAAAATAGGTTGGAAATGTTTTAAGAAGAATTAAATAAAAATAAAAATTAGGAAATAGCAATAAAGTATTATAATCAACTGAATTATATTTTATATCTAAAAAAGTTAATATTATTAAAGATATAATTCTACCTAAAAAAAATAATGATAAATATTAATATAAAAAAAAAAAAAAAAAAAAAAAAAAAAAATCATAAAAATAATAGTAATATTTAAATATTTTAAAAAAAATAATAGAATTTTTTTTTTAATATTAATTTTATTTTATTTTGATTTATTTCATTTCTTAAAATTACTTATATGGCAGAAAAATAAAAAATAAAACAAAAAAAGTCTAGTCTTCTCCCCCGTCAAATTGGCGGAGGATATTGGGGAAATTTTTTTGTTTCTAATCAAAAGGTTATATAACAAGCAACTTAAATACACATAAAAAAAAATTAAAAAAATTAGTAAATAAATACCTAAAAAAAAAGAAATATATATATTATTATATTTACTACAAACTTCTATACTTCTAAATTTTTTATTTTTATATTTTTTTTATTTTATTTTTGATACCGATAGTCATTAGGGAAATAATATTAATAAACAAATTTCAATTAAATATAAAAATGAAAATAAAAATTATATTAAATTTATTTTATGATTAATATGTCATTACAACAAAAGTTTTATTATCATAATATTTTTTCTTTTTTCCAATACATATATGCTATATACAATGCATTCTTATACGAAAAAAAAAAAAAAAAAGAAAAGAAAATAAGGAAAAAGAACTCTCATATATTAAAAAATATAAAATTTGTTTTATTTTTTGAAAAGCTTGTATAAATTGCTTTTTTTTTTTTTTTTTTTTTTTTTTTTTTTGGCTCCTAATTTACAAAAACATAAATAAAAAAAACCTTATATTTAATCATTTAAATATAAGAGAAAATTTAATTTCAGCAAAAAATAAGAAAAAAAAAAAAAATGTTATTTTGTATTTTCCTATAAAATGATTTTATTATTTTCAAAAAATTTAATAAATTTCTTTTTTTTCTTTTATTTCTTTTTTATATATATATTTGCACACATTTTAAAAGGAAAATAGAAGCATATATTCTTATAAAAAAATTAATAAAAATTAATCTACCATAAAAATTGTGGAAAATTGATTTAATATTTTTTTATTTCTTTTATGCCACATTTTGTTATTTCAAGGAATGATTAATAAGTAATATAAAAAAAAAAAAAAAAAATTAGAAAATAGTTATGAATTGTTATATATTTAAACTGCATTTGTTAATCTATTTCATTTTTTTATTTATATCATTACATTTTAGTGTTTATAATATGTTGAAATTTTTTTATCATATATAGAGATGTTTAAATATATATTTTATATCAAAATACAAAACTATCATACATAAATTAAAACGTTATTATATATAAAAAATTATAAAAAATTATAAAACACATTTATCTTAAAAAGAATTGTTCTGTATTCTTTTAAAAAGTAAAAATATTTTCCTTTTGAATTAAAAATTTATTTATTGCTATTTTTTTTTTTTTACATCTAAAAAGAATAATTTTTTTAAGCATAAATATTTTATTTCATTTTTCACTAACATAATTTTATGTTACAAATTTATTTTTATAAATTTTTAATAATTCAATTAAATTTTCTCTTTAATATCTAAATAAATCTAAATTTAACTTTTATAAGTACGATAATTATTTTATTTTTCTTATATATATTTTTTTTTTTTTTTTATAAAATTAATTATAATACTTTATAATTTGTTTTTATACTAAAATATTATTTTATTATATCTTAAATTTATTTTTATATAATTCCAGAACTTATTTTTCATTTAATTATACTTATATTTTTTTAACATAATAATAAATTTAATAAGAAAAATATTTTATTTTTAATTAAAATTTTTATTCTTATTTTTTTTTTTTTTTTTATAAAATGTTATATGTTTTAAATTTCAAATTAGCAATAATATATAAATGAACTAAAATTTTTTTATTCCTCCCTTTTTTTTTAAGAGAGTTTAAAAATAAATAGGAAATAGAGGAAGAAAAAGAACACAAAAAGACAATTTATAATAATTATTTAAATTTTAATAAAAAAAGAAAAAATTGAAAAATTAATATAATTAAAAAAAAAAAAAATGTTTTATATACAGAAAAAGTATAAATGTTCTGTTAAGTAATGTTAGGATAAGAAAAAAAAGTAAAATATATAACCTAAATAAATATAAAGTTTTTTTTAACAATTTTCATTTATTATATTTTTTAATTTTTAATTTTTTCATTAATTTATTAAAAGCAATTGTAAATTAGATGAAGTATTTTGGTTATTTGTTCTATTTTTTATATACCATAAAATTATTCTTAAAAAACGAGACAATTTTACAAAATTTTTTTATATAAGAATTAAAATGTAAAATAATTCTTTTGGGAAAGAAAAAAAAGTAGAAAAAGATATATAAAATATGTTTTATATGATTTTCAATCTTTTATTTATTGAGTTAATGTATTAATTAGTAATATGGCTTCGAAAAAGTTTAAAAAATATGAAGTCTTAATTTAACCAAAAAAAAAAAAAAAAAAAAAAAAAGATTTTAATTTACATGTAATATTCTAAAATATAACTTAAAAGTTAGAAATACTAAACAATGGATTTTTATTTTATATATTTATTGGTTTTTTTTCTTTTTTTTTTTTTTTTTTCTTATTAAAGGCTTTTATAGTATTCAAACTGTTTTATATTTTATTATTTAAAGAAAATTTTACGTTCATTTTTATACACATAGAATTGAATTTTAACAAATATAAGTCCAATTGGGAAAAAAAAAAAAAAAATTAACTTTTGTCTTTCTAATCCTCTTAAATATTTTTTTTTATCTAAAGGAACAAACAAAAAAAAAATTAGTAGCACGTTTAACAATATTACTTGTGCAATTTTACAACTTAAATTTGAATAAATATTAGAACATCTTATTTAGGCTTAACGACAGAAGCATTCATTCATAATAGAATTATAATAATGCATTTTTTAAAGATTAGAAAAAATTTTAAAAAATTTAGATAATAAAAGTTTATTATAATTATAGAAAAAAAAAAAAAAAAGTTATATAAATACATGTTTTTTTTTTTTTTTTCTAAAAACTATTCATTATAATGATAAAAAAAAAAAAAAGGTGTAACTTTTGTTTTATGAATACTAAAAATTATATATTATAAATATAATGAATTATTTTTTTTTTTATGTCTTTTTTATAGTTTTTATTATAATTAATAACATATGTGATCATGTTTTAATTTTTAATATATAATCCTTTGTAACATTTAGTTCCATATAATATTTTATTTTTATTTTTTATTCTTTTTATTTTTGTTCTATATGTAGAAACACTATTTATTTAAAGTGTCTTTTACTAATAATTAAACTTTTTATTATTTAAAATATGCAAATATTTATGTGTAATTATATATCTTTATTAAATGAAAAAAGAAAGCAATAATAAAATATATTTAATTAAAATATACCTTCATATTATATACTACATGTAAATATTATACAGTCTATCATCAAAATACAACTAGTTATTAATAAAAAGAAACATCAATTTTATATATTTTTTTGTGAAGTTATGTTGAATTATTTTTAATTTTAAAATATTCATTAATTTATTGATATAATTAATTAGATTCAAAAAAAAAAAAAAAAAAAAAAAAGTTAATTATTTTTTTTTCTTACTAATTCACATCATTATTAACAGAAGCAATAATAAATAAAAAAAAAATTAATATAAAATGAAAAAAATTAATAAAATAGTATTTCTAATATTTGTTTCTTTTTTTATAATAGACCAAAAATTTTCTGAAGGATTTTTAAGTGATTCAAAAGACTTTTATGATATAAATAAAAGCTCCAGTTCAAGAAATATCTCGAAGTACGGACAATTAAGAAAAGAGAAAGAAGATAAAAATAATCTTAGAAAAAACAACAATGCAAGTGATCCATGTGACTTTGAAATTTGTTTTGAAATAAAAAAAGAAGAACAAATTGGTGTATCAGATAAATGTAGTAGAAAAAAGTGTTATTTACACAAAGCAACTTTAATAAAAAATAAATCAGTAACTAATCTAGAACCTCATGAATTATATGGAGAAGTAGAAAATAGTGATATTAGTAAAAGATGGAGGGATGGTAATTTTTCGAATAAAAAAAATGATTACAAATTTGAAGGAAACAACAATTCTGACAAAGAAACAGGAATTTCGGAAGAAAATGGTGGAACTGATGATGATGAACATGGGCAATCTTGGGAGGAATTTAATTTTGATTCATGGGATCCTTCTAATAATGAGTATAAACATAATTCTAATTCTAATTCTAATACTAATTCTAATTCTAACTATTTTTTACATAAATTTAATTCTTCACCTGTATATAATAAAAGTGATAAACTTAATGAAGTTCATTTGATGAAAGAAAAATACTGTACTCGTTTTACGAATAGTGACGAGAAAAATAACAAAGAAATTAGTATCTATGATAATATATTTGAAATGCATCACAAACCTAAATGTCATAATTATTATGAATTAAAATGTAGTTGTTTTGATGAATCAGGAAAAGCGAAAACTGAGGATTTTGTCATATATATTAATCCAATATATAAAAGTAAAAAAGAGGAGGAAGAAATTAAAGAACATGAGAAATCTAAGTCTAATTATTATGAAAAAAATATTGTATTTATGAATGAAATTATTAATAAGTTAAGGTATTACAATTTTTGAAAATAAAAATATAAATTTTAGGGTTACACCTAACTATGAAAAAATAAATTTTATAATTCAATAAAATATTTTTATATAAAATCAGTAAAACAATAAATAAAAAAAAAAAAAAAAATTGTAACTTTTTTACCTACAATGATATCTTTTATATTGAAAATTAATTAAAATAGATATATTAATAAAAAATAAAACTAAAAAATTAAATAGAAATAAAAATAATAAACACACACGCAAAGATATCCAGAAGTTTGAAATACAAAAATATGCAGTTCAAAAAAAGTATTAAATTAAAAAAATTTATAATACTAAGATAATAAACTAAATAATAAGATATATTACATACTATTATTTAAATAGTATTAATAATTTATATTTCTCTAGAAAAAAAATTATACATGAAATAAACCTTTAAAATATATCTTAAAAGATAGATAAAAAAAAAAAAAAAAAAAAA